AGGTTCGTAACAACGAGTTAGTAGTCAGGTAGTGGAGGACCGACTAAATAGTCTCTCGCTGTACGGTCCGAACGGACGGAGTGTACGGTACGACGCAGTGTGTATATATATATATATATATATATATATATATGACAACTGGCTGGCAACACCTGCTACCAACTTTTAATAGTATTATTTTTACGTATTTATTTATTTTTTAAACTGCTGACTCGAAGGAAGACAACTGTCTGTGCACTGTTGACAGGTTCTCTCACAAATATGTTACTGCCTTACAACATTTTGTGTCACTTGGTATCATCTCATATGTTAAAATTATGTTTATTTAGGAAATATATTAAAAGCTCAAAGCAGCTTTTAATTGTATGCTGCTAAGTTATATACATATATATATACACATCTAAGTTTCAAGACATTAATATTTCCATGTTATGAAATGAAAAAGTCAAGATGCATGATCAGATAAGACTATTATGAAATTATCTAATGATAAGTTCACAAAAATTGTTTGTGTGACAATGGTTTGGTCGGTCATGAAAATTATTCCACAAAAACAAGAGACAATAAGACATAAATGGTACCTTCACAAAAATATTAGTCTTTTTTAATTCCATAAATGTTCTTTAAGACAAAAAACAGTAAGCAAAACTGAAGCCTTTAAAGGATGAGCACATCATCAACAGGTCAAAGAAAACATTACAAATATGAGCTGAATTTTGTTAGCATACACTAACTAAACATTCAGATTGCACTGCTTCAAGTGTCTGTGAGGGTATTGCTGTATCTTTACAAAATGTATTTAATATATGAACAACTTGCATATTTTAGTTTTATTTCAGAAAGTGACATCAAGTCTTAAAAGATAATTAACAGTGTTACACTATAAAATTCAGGATTTACATATGAAATGTATTTACTGGTGTTACATTAATGTTTAAATCAATTGGCATTAATCATTAGATATTTTAAAACATTATGATTGGCTCATTATGTTAAGAAAAATTGTTAATAACTATAATAAGGTTAACCACATGTTTCAGTGAAGAGTAGAGAAATACCAGATGTGTTATCATTTGTTAGATATACTTCAAGATGGTAAATCTCAATTATTAGCAGGCTAGAGCTCAACCCACACTATAATTTGATGATGCTCTGAAAATATAAAATCACTGCTGTTATAAATATTGTTGCAGCTAATATACCATGTACTGAGTATTAACGCTTTCACTATAGGCCCGGTCCCAGGGACCAACCTTGTAACCATTTTGTGGTTGTTATAGTTTTTTTTCATGCTATAACTTTTAATACAGCAAGCATATCTTCATGAAATTTTGCAGATTATCAGTAAACATAACAAGGCTTTTGTACACAAAATATCAGATGTTTTATTAAGTTTAAGATTTTTTAAATAATGTTTTTCTCGTGCATTTTTTTCAAACATTTGACTATTCAGCATGCAAAGTAATTTTATTTTAACATTAAAAATACTTCTATGCATAAGAAAATTTTCAAATTTCACATTTGAAATCATTATAACCTCCAAATAATTATCAAACATTTTCTATAGAAAAAAAAATATATTTTATCTGTTATTTTCACTATTGTATCTCTCTATGGGTTTGGTCAATTTCACAGACTTTGTAACCACCATAAAACAATTAGGATATAGATATAAATTGTGTTTTTTTTTTGTTCTAGAATGACTGCAAATTATAAGACAAAAACACAAATGTTTATTCTAAATAGCTTACATCTCAAAATATTATACATTTATATATTCATTATTTATATTTTATTAACCTTTAAACCATGCTTGACTAACATTACAGAAGTTGCAATGATGAGGCACAAGCGCACTCATGTTACCAGATACAAGAATATAAAACTGGCCTTTACAAAGTGACATGTCTTGGCTGTGCTCTAGTGGACCAGTATTTTGTAAAATACAGTCTCAATTCAGTTATAATACACTATATGTGTACATACATTATTACTATTTACAAATAAGTTGCATCTACACCAGCAGAACACCACTACCCTACTCTCAACTGAATGGTTATAGCCAATTTGTTAGTGAAACTCATTCAGGGTGCAATATAACGCTATAGGGCCCTCACAAAACACAACAGTCTATTGGGGTCTGGACGAGGGTAAAGATGGGAGATAGAAGGTAGGGAAATAGGAGAAAAAGAGGAACAACCTTCTTGAGCTGCCACAGTCTTGGGGAGAAAGGAACATTCAAGATAAAGGAGAAATGTCAATGGCAAATAAATCAAATCAGCGATGTCCTTAGACCAAAAGGAGAAGGAAATAGGTCTTAAGGGACAAATGAAACAAAGAACACAAGGAAAGTGGTTCAAACAGAGTTAGAGTCAGGGTATGGAGGACCACATAAATGTCTTAATCCAGAAGGGGAGGACACCTGGAAGGCCTCTGAATCCAGCATATTGAAAACAGGGGGAAATAAAAACCCTACAGTACCTGGAGAAACAGAAGGAATGGGAAAGTGCTGCCCTATATCCAAAAATCAAAGAGATCAAAGACCCATGGTTGAAAAACCAGGTGAGAAATTCTGCTACCCAAGCCATTGAAAGCTTGCACTGGTAAAATTCCATGGAAGATGGACAAATGGAAGTATCTACCATGGAGGCAACTCGACAAGTGAAGCCTGATCTCCTAGCCACAAAAGCCAGGCATGAAGATGCAGGACAGGGAGAATGGGATGAAAAGCAGGGGCTTGAGGTTGATGCAGAAGGGAGGGAAACAGTGGAAGAGAGACAGGTGGTGAGAGGAGCAGACACTGTGTGCCTTGGAAACCAGAGTTGTGCTGGCCACTGAGGTGCAATCAGGAGAACCCGACGAGGAGCGGAGTGTACCAGAGAAATCACTAGATGAAGCAAACTATTGGGAGAGTACACATAAAGGTATTTGTGAGACCAATCCTGGCTGAAGGCATCGACAGCCAGAGCCTGTGGGACATGCGACCAAAAAAGGGGCAACTTTGTATTGAGACTGGTGGCAAATGCATCCAATTGGGGAGAACCACATAGGAGGCAAAGGTCTCTGAATATGATCGGATCTAATTACCACTCCATGGGATAGAGTTGGCCTGGACTTGAAAGACGATCTGCTAGCAGATTGAAAGCAGCTGGCACATAACACGCGAGAAGACAAATGTGATGTGCCTGAGCCCAGTATAGAAGATCCTAGTTCCAGAAACAAAGGTCTCTGGTTGATATGAGTCACCACCATAGAGTTGTCAGAATGAATCATCATCAGACAGTGACGGGCAAGAGAAAGAATGTGAGATACCATCTGATGAGCTGCCAGAAGTTTGATAATATTGATATGCAAGACAAGTTCGTCTACAGATCAATGTCTCAAAGCTTTATGGTGATCGACCCAAGCCCCCATCCCTGAAAGAAGTTTCCATGAACAGATAGACATCCGGATGCAGGGGAAGAAGTGGCACAACTGTCGACATATGGGCTTTGTTGAGCTACTAAATGGTGGTGGAAAGAGGATCCTGTGCAAGGTTCCAATGTTCTTGAAGTGTTCACTGCAGGGATTTCATATGGGCACAACTGAGGGGGACCAATGCAGTCATAGAAGACCACATCCCCAAAAGTGAGAGAACCTTTGGAGCAGTAAGTGACCAAAACGAGAGAGCACGGTGAACTAAAAGTTCCATAGAACTGATGTTGGTGTCAAAGAAGACCCCCAAATGCACTAAGTATTGGTTGGGGCGAAGCACTGACTTCTCCATTTTTATCACCCAGCCCACTCGAGCTCCCACAGAAAAAAGTTAACAAGTGTGATTGGTGAACTCCTGCTTGGAATGAGCTAGAAGTAGCTAGTTGTCCATGTAATGATGAAACCGCAGCCCCAAAGTATGAACAACAGGACAAAACACGTATGGAGCTGAAGCAAGTCCAAAGGGAGAGCCCAAAATTGGTAAACCACCCGGAGATGAACTAACCGAAAATAAAGATGGGATTGAAGGGCTATTGCAATGTGGAAATATGCATTGGAAATATCTATTTTTGTTATTCATCCACAATTCTGGGGAAAACGCTCATCTCAGGGTGAGAAAGGACTCCATAGTGAACCTGGAGAGTGCAATAAATCGATGACCAGTCATCAATTCCCAGTTTTCTTGGGGACCACGAAAAGATGGGAGTAAAACCCCTTGAAGGGATGGTGAACCAGTTCGATATCACACAACAAAAGCAAATTCTGAACCGCCTCTAACAGACGTTGGTGAGTCAAGAGATCTTGATGAGGAGGACAGGAAATGGGGTGAGGAGAAATGGGAGGTGGGGAAAGAAACGTGAGAACGAATCTCTGAAAGAATCTTTGTCACCCATTGATTCTTGACAAAAGTGGAGCTGTGAATAAGAAAATCCAACAAATGAGCTCCCAAGTAGTCACTGATTTCCAATAGGTACTTCCTACCCTTCCTCTCCACTTCTCTGGTGTTCACACCTTCTGCCAACCTTGGAAGTAAAGGTTTGGTAGAAGAGTGTAGAGGGAGTCACGTTCATCAACTGAGCATATTTTGCTACTATTGGTTAATAGATGATGCATGATGACTTCCATGAGACACTCGTTGGAATGTACTAGTTCCAACAAGGGGGTCCACAAAGCTTGTGGCATGCGCAAAGAAAATGGTCGCATATAGAAGGCAGCACTGAATGAGAATAGCTAATCTTGTGAGCAGAGCTAAGTACCATATCAGAAACTAATTTAAAAAAAAAGTGACACTGCCTTGGGCTCATTGCTTATCAATTTTTAGTGTCATCACTTATCAACTCATTAAAAGTAGGATTAAGTGAGTGAGTACAATTATAAATACTGTACTAAAAAAATTATTGAATTATTGTGAAATACTATTTGTCTTGTTTTGAAGCTAAAAATGTTTGAAATTTTGTGAACTTGCATTAACAAAAATCACATTTTTGCAAAAAAATAAAAACTGATAAAATAATAACTTCAACATTTTTATACTTTACAAAACATTTTGAAAAACAATTCCTGCCCATTTGAAAATGACTGTTTAAATTTTGTACATTAACCATAAGAATGTACACCTTTTCTTTCTTTTACCATCCCCCGATCTCTATCACGAAATCTTCCTCGTCCTCCTCTTCTGCCCCATCCTCTATTTTTGCCTCGTCCATGGTCTCTTCTTAGTTCATCTTCTTGCACTTGCTCTCCTACACCATGGCCAGCATTTGAAGATAATCCTTCACTGTTTTTTGATGCTAAAGAGTTAGAATACACAAAAGGTAGAGAATATTACTGAAATTCCCTTTTTATATACAGTTTTTGATTTCTTTCTTATTGTTTTATACAAAGTAAAAATTTTAAGGATTTGCATTGTTTCTTGTTATGTTTGGTTGTATTATATATCTTTTCTTTACTTGTCAATCTGATAAAAACAAGAAACAAAACAAACAACCAAATGATTTTTCAGAAGTATAGGCAGTAAATACCTTCAATTAATATATTTTGGTACTTAATTTTTTTTTAAATATATAACAAGTATCATTTGTACATGTTTCTTATTACTGTGAAGTTTTGACAATTTCAATTTTAATTGTGGGTAAGGTTTAAACTAAGTCATAATTATTATTAACAGTAAGTTTGTTTATTGGTAATTTGTATAAAATATGTAAATTCTGGTTTATTTAATTCCCTGTATCTAATACACTGTCCCCATTATGCATTGATGACTACATGTTCTTTTAAAAGTCAAAATGCCACCATCATGTTAGAAGTGGGAAAGCTTAAAATATCATTTCTGAGAGCAGTATACAGATAATATGGAAAAAAATTTACATAATGAGAAAACTAATTGAAAAGGATGTCAAAATTGAAGAAAAATAAAAAACAAAGATGGATAAAACACCACTGGAGTTTGTAAATCATAAGAAGATTTAAAAAAGGAGAAAAAGCAAAAGACCAATAAGTATCAGAAATTATCAGTCAACTAAAAAGAAATAAGACTAGGGAAAAAAAAAAGATGAAAATCTAGAGGAAGAAAGTAAATATTGAACAAGAGAAAATATCATTCTAACAGGGCTAAACCTAAATATTTATACAAATGTTCTTATAGAAGTTGGTCAGAAAGAGGCAAAGAAGGCAACTGAAATAATGAAAAACTTTACTGAGAAAACAGAAATAAGATAAGATGTTCATGCTATTCACATAGTGTAATATTCATACATACTTATATATGAATAGCAATGTTAATAATATGTTATATTGTATTTAAGTGCCAAATTAAACATAAAACTTAGAAAACAAGACTGCTTTATATTGAAAATCTAGTATAGTCTTTTGAAACATGGCATAATCTAAAATTATTAATCAAAGCAGTCTCACATTAAACAAATTTTCTGAATTACAACTGTTTGAAACTAGATCTTAATGCAGCGTAAACTCAACATAATGTTACGATTCATTTTTATCACCAAGTCATGTATCCAATTTCAACTGACTAAAAGCAGGAAAAGGTTATAATGTTTTATATTTTTATGATGATTTCATTATGTTTGATATAATCTAAAATAAGATATATATATGTGTTAAAATGCATTTATTTGTGTAATACTGGTTAGACAATGCATTGTGTACTTTTAGTTTGAATACATAATGAAAAAGATATTTTAGTGAGATTAGGGTTCCAATAAAGTGGTCCTATGAAATACAAAAACAATAGTATAACAATATGAAGAATTAGCTAGGGATTACTTGAGTATAATTACAGCATTAGCCCAATAACAATGTGTTTGAAAATAATTATTCAGTTGCTAAAGGCATGGCTGTTAAATAGTTACTGAGTTAACCCTCAAGATCCAAATTTATTTATATAGCATTCAGTAGCATGAAGTATATATAAAGGAGTGTAACCCAGGGCTTTGTATTGTAGTTCTGTGGCTCATCTCCATAAGAAAAAGATCTTGGTTTAACTCCTGTTCTGTCTCTTCTACATGCATATAGTTGGTTCAATATCATATATTTGGAATTTTTATATGGAAAGATTGTATATTCTAAACATATGATATTGAACTTGTTCTGTCTTCTTGATTACCAAGATTTTGAATAATTGATTAAAGAAAAGTAACTCAAAGTTCAGGCTCATAATCAGAATGAACTAACTCAATGAGCAGCATCTAAGCCAATGCTTCACTTTCTAGTTAAACACAGAATACTAAATTTGCAACTATGCAAAACAGTTCACTGCTAACACAATTTTTTTCTAGCATGAAGCTGAGGTAGTGTGCCAAAAACAAAAACAACACCAAAAGCCATTCTCTCAGTGGTGCCCCAAAACTAATGGTTCTGTCGTAATCCCTTACTTTCAGTATACACATCGCACAAAATGGCACCACTCTCTAGGCCCACTCTTTTTCATAAACATACAAAACTAAGCCTACCTTAGGTAAACTGCTAGAATAATCAGAATCCCTTACTTTCAGTATACACATTGCACAAAATGGCACCACTCTTTAGGCCCACTCCTTTTCATAAACATACAAAACTAAGCCTACCTTAGGTAAACTGCTAGAATAGTCAGAAATTCAAACTGATTAAATTTACAAATTAGTCATGCTAATCTAAGCAAACTCTTCTAAAACTCTCCTTACTTAGTACAGAAAAAAAATTCTTGAATGATCATAATCATTAATGATGATTCTTAAGTTTAGCACCTTAACATTGTGGATTATTGAAATTAAACTACATCAGAGAATGGCATACTAATAAAAAACACCATTCATTATCAGTAATTGAAAAGTTTATACACATGTCTATAAGTGATATGTCACTGTAGTAACATTGTATGTTTTTTGACATATGTCATCTTGTTTTATAACTGTTAACATGTTTTAATCCCTTATTTTAATTTGTATTTCATATAAATATCTCTTTGTTATATATTATCTAATGTTTTTACAATTAAATATGTAATTTTATTCTATTCACTTTACTGTACACATTCACAGTTTTTGTTTGTTTGTTTAGCATGTAATGGTTTAGTTCTAGTTGCTTTGTATATATTTTAGTTACTTAAACTAATTATTCACCTTTAGCTACTAAGATGGGGGTCTAAAGATGTATGACCAAGCAATTGTATCAACACTATACTAATTTTCATCTTCTGTAAAAATACTGATTATATTTTTGTACTTATTGGAAGCTCTTGGCTAAAATAATCAGGCAGGTGGTGGCACTGCCTATGTAGGGATGGCTCGGATTGTTCATCAAAATGGTATTTTAAATATCTCCTCAACAGATCATCAGAACTTTACAATACTATATAGTGTTTCCTTTTATAACAATACTTATGTAATGACTGAGTCACAAGTTCTGGAAATGTCTGTAAATATCACAGCAAAAAGTTTGAATTTCTTGTTGTTCTTTCTTCTGTTTCTTTTTTATTACAAGATAACTCAAAATCCAGAACAATGGCATTAACCAATTTTACTGAGGTGACATAGTTTCAAACAGAGTATCCACTTTTCTAACTATAATTAATAAGTAGTAGTAATTCTAGTGTAAATGATGTTATCATTATCCTTTGAAGTTAACTTTCTTACAGAAATTTGTTGTTCCTTTAAAAGGCTTAAGTACAGGGTGAAACAAAAATTGCCAACCAATAGTAAATAAACAATAAATATTAAAGTTGGAACCTCACTGTATTTAGAACTTGGTTATAAATACAACCTTCCTATGTCTATTGAAACACTGCATTAAAAAAAAAGTAAAGAAAAAAAATTTCAAAAAAGGAAGTAAATTTAGGGATGGCTATTATCAATCCTTCAAAAACAATGACATTCCAACTTTCTTGTTTATTTATTTTTGAAGGATTAGAATTAACCATCCCTACATTTACTTCCTTTATTGAAAAGTTTTTTCTTTGCTTGTATACTTAGTTTTACAAAAACATTTTTCATCTATATATCCAATCAAAAACTAATAGTTTTTATCATGATTTCAGCTAAAACACTTTAATAAGATCAATATACATTTTTTTTCATATCTGTTTTTAATATACTATTCTAGCTGTCAATACAACTTATTTTTCTACATTCTCCAAGTCTAATATTAATTAAACAATAATTTTTTTTATATCCATTTAAATCTGTTATTTTCTTTAACTTTATGTATATTTGGATGTAACTACATTTTCAATAGCTCATGTTTTTATATACAGGTATGGCAGATTTTTCTTTTAATCTAATTTATTTGCATAAATCCATATTTTATTTGCAACTCTTCATAAACTACTATAATTGTACCAAAGGTTGGCAGCACAGACTAATGCAAGACATTTATAATTTATTTATAATGCAACTGGGCCATAGACACATCTACAAAACATCAGTAATTCCTATACACCTTCTCAAACACAAAGTACACCTTTTTCCATGCAGTGCTAAATTACTAAGTGCCTAAACATAATATACCACAAAACTGATCAAATCCAAATTTCCATTTTAGAAGAGTCGCCCCACATGTAACTTAATTTCTCCAATCAGTAAACATGACAACCATATGATGCTAGGTCAGTATTCTGTATTGTACTACATGTACAAGCTGGCACTTCTAGAATGCAGTGAAAAAAAATAAGTCAAGCAAGCCAAGATCATGTACAATTCCTGCTACAGACACACACACACACATCCTTATACAAATAAATTGCTACCCATGACTACATACTGTATATATGGATAATAACCCAAAGTTAATTTGTAAAAAATAAAATATTTTACCCCAAATTAATTTTAGAACAACCAAGAGCTAGTGAAAATAGTTTAGTTGGTTCACTCAAACATGGAAATCTCTACAAACTGTCATGATGAACATATTTGGGTACGAAGATAATAAGTCACTAAACACTTTTCTCAAGAAACTTAAAAGCTACCTTTATTACATAGCTTCAGTTTCTGTTTTTCTACCTATTTCTCTCAATCTGAAGCAGATAATAGAAACAAAATATAACACATCTTCCACAATCTTTGTCAGTAATATTCTCATTCCTGGTAAAATAATTAACATATCCTGTATTTTGTCAGTTTATCTGTACAAGACTACATTACCTAACAAAGTGTATAACATCTATAAGAAAATTGTGCAGCATATAACCTACTTACAGTAGCCATCTCCTTGATCAGCACTGGTGATAAGTGGTTTATTTTTATTCATGTTAAACTCTAGTGGAGCATCATTATTTGTTGGATCGATCATAAATTGCACAGTTCCTTGTCCACTTGTCTGTTGATTTTCAGTTTGGGCCATGGCTGACGCTACAAGCATACAAACATGGTAAGTTACTAATTAAAGTTCACCCTACAATTTAGCTTTATTTTATAGAAGATTTAAACATCTTACAAAATTTAAACTGTACTGTAAGTTATGATGAAAATCTTCAATTTTATGTACAATTTCATATATAATTGAAACTGTTGACCATAACACATTCAAACAACAAAGGACCATTAGGTCCTTCAAAACTGTACTGGCACACCAACCTTTGACAAAGGTAAAGGTATAAACCAGAAAACCATTGATTATCTTCTTAAACCCATGTAAATTGCTGGTCTCCACAACTCCTCACTAAATGGTCTTAAACTTTTGTCCTTTTATCCTATTACCTTCAGAATATACCAGAAAGAAATAATGGGCCTTTATCCGATTGATTCACTGAATAATTATTGAAACTTTAACAAGTTCATCTATTACCCTTCCATTCTAAATAGAAAATAAGTTAAGAAATCATAAGTTATCTCTATAAGGATCATTCTAGTAGCCCTCCTCTGAACCTATCCCAATAGGTCAATATCTTTTATTAGATAAGGTGAGCAACTTTTACCTAACTTCATGTGATTTTACACGAATTGTACCATGGCATAATGACTTCATCAGGAGAGCAACATAACTCCATGCACCTATGTATTTGTACTGGTGAACCTTCATTCTCTGACGAGGTAAGAAACTGTGCACCGGAAGTAAGGAGGACGGATGGGAATGTGTGCTGTGGTCAGTATCTATTGGAAATAAATTTTCAGGTAAGGAAAATGTTAACTTCTGAGATAGTAACTCACCTCTACACACAGTTTAGCAAGAATCCCACATTGATATGATGGAGGGATGTGTGCAAAATTTACCTAGATGAGCACCCTTCAGAAAGCATCCAAGTGATGCACATGGGGTGTAACCAACAATGGCAGGGTCTCCATGGAGGCACTCTCGTGGAGGACCACATCTCTTCTCATTCAAGGTATATCCTTCACCCATATAGGAAAATGGAAGAGTCATAGAAGCCAAATTTGAGTTGCAGGGATGGACATAATTGGTACATTGCTGTCTAAGTAATGGAACACAAGTGACTAGATAGCCAATATGTGTAGTGTGTTTGGGGCTCATTCAGACTGTACCTTATGTGTTCACCTCAACTCTACCATTAGACTCAATTGGTCAAAACCAGCTATGGGAGGATGGCACTTGTGATAATTAAATGATGATAAACATTATCCATCCATCCATGAGAATTCACAACTTTTTAGGTCATATCCTGGGGTATTTTTGTCATAAACTTTCACAAATTTAACCATACAATCAATTTAACATTTTATCAATAAAAACATGTTTGGACTATCTGGACTTCAGAGTAACAGACTGCCACTGGCAACAAAGGTTTCCTTGGCCTGTTGTGGTTGTCCCATTCATTTCATCAAACATCTGTCTGTCTTTATCCAGTCCTGACTCTCTAAATACTCATCAAGTCCTCCCTTAAATGCTTCCAGTCCCATTGTGTCTATAAACAGTGTAATTAAAATTTAAGTAATCCTAATATTGAAGTGGATAGGACTGCCTCGATAGACCAACACAGACCCTTTGTATATATCTTAGGTTTCTGCTATCAACTTCACGTATTATTATCATTAATATAGATTTGGTACTAATTCTAAAAACTTGTATGTGAAAACAAAGAAGAATATTATGTTAATCATACTACATCTGCCATATGCAGTACAGATGGGGCTTTTTGCCCAATATCAAGGGTTATATACTAAAGTAAATGTTAATCAGAGATTAGCAGGTTTAGTCTTAGAAACTGAAGTAAAAAATCGGATTCAACAAGATTTTGATATTTTTGGACACTAATAGATAAACAAACTAGCATTTGTCATTTTTCTTAGCCTTGTTATTTCCTAAAGATGTTTTTTGACTATAAAATTAAGTCTAATAATATCATTATTAATAATAATACTCATATTGTGAGAAAGATGGGCAATCACAATTACACCCTCTCAATCTCATACTCGTGGTGTCATACTTCCCAAGTAATAACTAATATACTATACTTGACCACCATGACCCGTTGGATCAACCACTATTCAGATGCTATGAAGAATTCAAGCTAATTTCAATATTGCACCAAAATGAAGGTTTATTTTGAGATGATTTAATCAAACATTTCAATCCATTCATGTTATTCATAATTCAAGAAAAGATATTTGACTGTTGTCATCTTATGCCTTTTAATGAAGATGGGAACATTGACAGGGAAATAATATAATAGCCAATGCTTGGTGAGAGGTTTGCGTTTATAAAATGTTGTTGTTGTTGTTCTCAACTTGATTTTTATTTTATTACCTCGTCTCCATAGTTACTATTTGCAAATAGTCAATAATATTGTAGGTCCATTTTATTGTTGTTTTTTCTATGCTATATTTAATTACAGACAAGCACACACACAAACAATCTCAGAGTTTTAGTATATAGATTATATAGTAGTAACACTAACAGAAACATTATTAACTCATTTAACACGAATATTACTAGTAGTAGTAATAGTAACACTTAGGAAGTTGTGTTTGTGAGTCAGACAATTATCCATCCAATACAATATACAGGATATATTATTATTAATATTTCAGATTTTCACAAACTGAGAGAACTTAGTTAGGCCTAGTAGTAATAGTATACATTTGCTAATTTTCTTAAAAGTTACAAATTATTATATGTTATACTTTTTACCTTTCAAACTGGTGTTACTTAAAACGTGTATCACAAAACACGTATAGTTATAACACAATTATTAATTTAATGCAAGGCCTTTAATTCTTGTAACCAGCTTTATACTTTTCATTCAACCTACACTTTTATGTTATTATAATATAAACTACAGTGCTGCCTTCTTACATATAAAAACTTTTAAAATAATGTAGATGACGCTGCGAAAATAATATATAATGGCA